AAATGGACTCTAAATTCAACAGGAAGCAGTGGAGATGAGATAGCAACGGTGTCACATGTGAATACTTAGAGGATTTTGTCAAAAGCCTAGCTGCAGCGTTTTGCACAACCTGCAGACGATCCAGAGAACCTTTTCTTAGACACATAAACAGCGAGTTACAATAGTCCAAGCGCCAGGAAATAAATGCATGTATAGCAATCTCCAGTTCAGAGCGAGATAAAATCGGGCTTAGCTTAGCCACATTTCTTAAATGATAAAAACAAGACCGAACCAGAGATTTCACATGACCATCCAATGTGAGAGTCGAGTCAAAAGTGACACCTAAATTCCTGATAGAGGATTTTACATACACTGAGGCTACGTCCACACTTACCCGGGTATTTTTGAAAACGCAGATTTTTCTATGCGTTTGCACCTTTCGTCCACACATAAACGGCGTTTTCGGTCACTGAAAACGGAAATTTCTAAAAACGCCTGCCAGGGTGGATATTTTCGAAAACGCAGTTTTTGCATTTACGTGTGGACGAGGAAAACAGAGAAAACGCAGCGTCAAAGGTGTGCGCCTTTTTTGACGTCACACTGTGCGCCACGTTATTGTTTCGGTGAAATGAATTTCTACAATACTGTTACTGTTAATCGTACTCTCTGCAGTGTTTAAATGCTTACATATACACACACAGTTACTGTCCCTCCACACATACGACTCGGTTCTGCTTCCATGCCCCAGCTTTGTTTACTATTTCCCGCCGAGGCTTCTAGACTTCTGATTGGCCAACATTTCTACACGGTTAGGAATATATCGCCACTTGTTGCTTTGGCATGTTCCTAGCAGCGTTTTCCTTCATTTCTGCGTTCACGTGTGGACGGGATTATTTTTTTAAAACGAAAACGGAAAATCTCAGTTTTCAAAAATACCTGTGTATCCGTTTTCTCTCCGTTTTGGCCGCCCGTCCACACCGAGACCGTGCTTTCCTCAAGGAAAAACGCAACGTTTTGAAAAAGCTCTCGAAAACGAACGGAGCTGTCCCGTCGCAGTGTGGACACTCGGAAACGCAGACTTTCTAAAACGATGACGCATTTTAGTCATGTGATGCAGTTATGTGACCAATTAAACAAAGATAGCGAGGGCATTATACAGCAGTTGTTTTGATTGCTCTCAATTTTGACAGCCCTAAAAAAGATTAATATCAGTTTATCCATGCTCCAGATAGCTTTTCTTCAAATTCTTTAAGTCACACTTGCTTTTGCGCATGCGCAGGCCTGGAACGTAAGTGTTTTGGGCCGTATCAATGAGGACGCACAACTCTGTGAAAATGACTTAAAACGCTAGTGTAGA